TGTTCAACCAAAGCAATCTAGTACAAACTTTGGATCTTCATGAAATGATAGCCAACATTGGGGGCCCCAACAAAAATAATGCTCTTGGAGTAAGCTAATGGTTTTCAAGAAAAGCAACCAAAGCCATATAATGTAAGCAGGGCTCCCTTTGTAGGCTCCATCAAAAGAGGCTCCAGAAACAACACCTCCAACTTAAAAACCATTGATGTCCCCCATGCTGTACGAAAAACATTGCTCCATTCATCCATTCATCCATTCATCCACCAGTCTATCCGTCCACATTGAGACAATAAATGATTGGGGGGGCGGATGAGGGAGGCCCCCTTCACAACCCCAATAATGTGGTGTGGTTATTGAGCAATGAGTCTTCTCTTTTATGCATCATGGCACATCCAGGTGGCTAGGGAGCCTCTCATCCCAGTGTAGGGAGTGGAGCTAGTCTATGGATGAGAAACAAAGAAGGCAATAATTTGCCTTGCCATGTCAGCAAAACCAACCCTCTTTCCTGGTCCACCTGGCCAACTACACTCATTTTGTTTGTGACTGATGAGAGAGAGACATGTTGGTGACACAATATCTAGATGGACGTGTTAGAACCAAAGCTTCATATAATGCCAATATACCTTAAACCATGTTACCATCTGAAGTTGATGGTTTAGTATGATGGAGATGGTGATTTAATGTGTTTTTGAGGATGGTCTTTGCCAAGTCTCTGTATTGGTTTAGGGAGATTTTGATTTAGTTGTGTCTGTCACCTCATGTAGGTTTCCATACAGCCAGTGTAGCCCTATAATTGCCATGCAGGTTATGCTTCAGCTAGGGCTTTTTTTGTGGCCTTCACACTTTGACCTAATTCTCTGGGATGAAGGATTGAACATAGTCATGAAGAAACTTCCAAGATGCTAATGAGACTACCTAATTATGAGGGCTCAATGTTACTAAGCCTGAAACAATTAGGAACATATAGACTTACAAGTTCTCACCACTGTTCCCAACAACAGCTTGTGAGAAAGAAAAAATAAGTGTAATGGGAGAAGCCATAGGTGTGAGGCTGCTTCACATGCACAGCCAACACAAAAAATAATTCTTCTGACACTCTAACTCTTCTTTAGCAAAGAAGACTAATGGAAAGGAGACATGTATCTTGGTCCTACTAGAAGGCTTGGTTTATCCCCCCCCCCTCAAAGAATTAGCCTGACACAACTTTACAAAAGGGATTCATAAGCAATTTAAAGCATTCATTCTCATTTGGTTTTTTTATTTTATTTCTAATTGCTTAAACCACATCTAACATTTTTTCCACATTTTGTTTTCTACAGTTTGATTGCAGTATGTGATAATTTCTGTTTAGGTTTCTGTAGACTCTTAATTTTCACATGCAATCAATAACTCATACTATAAATACCCATTCCCTCACATACATTCAAAAACACTCTCATGGATTTATTTTTGTATATATATATATACACACATCTACTCTGCATATCTACCCTAAAAGCGTAAGGGGAGACGACTCATGTGTGAAGCAAGCTGTATTAATGAGGGTGGCAGAGCTGTTGCCAGTGCCTTGGGAGCAAAGCCTGAGACACTGTGAGGGCAGTAGGGCATCTACTACTCTCCATTATTGCTTCTCTTATCCCATACGATACCTGTATAACATGCAGTCTATATACTATGTTCAGGGTACTATCGTAGTGGGCTGTCTACACCTACTCTCTTCACTTCATACCATTGCTCGTATCTGGACATTGCAAATGTTTCAATCTATGCTCAAGATTTACACATGGATGAACAAGGTGCATTGGACTTTGAAGAGACAAAATAAAAGCAATTGTTTTTTTAAACTTTACATTAACTGCAAATGATGAGTATTCCAAGTTACATGTGTGTGTAGATATAAATATAATCTGGATAAAATAATTTTGTACAAAATATTACTTTTTCACTATATCTGCAAGTGGGTAAGTCTTTGCAAGAAAAAGAATCCAACAACATCAAATTAATCTCTTGTAATCAAATGTACCAAGCCATATACAACAGAACATTCCTTTTTGTTTTTGTTTTTGTTTTTTCTCCAAAAAATGTGAATTACAATGTCATTAATTTTTATTGTGCTCATCAGGTGCAATTAATTAATTCAAATTCAATAAGTTTTTCAAAATTAATTTTCAATTCTAAATTATCATTAACAATGTTTTGAATTTGAATGTAATAAAAGTTTGAATCATGGTCTTTGCTAGTTCCTAAATGAATTTCTACAAAATCATTTCAAATTGCCCTTGATTTATTTATTTTATTTTTCTGTTTTTCTGTTTTCTTTTCTTTTCGTTTTTCACTTTAAGTTGGGAAAGGTAAGTGATAAAAACATCTTTTGTTATACACATAGGCCTTTAGGATGAACCTTCTCAAGTAATGAGATTTCCTTGCAAAAACAACTCAAGAATATGGAAATAAGTAAATCTGTAGAAAGAACACAGGTTTGAATTTGAACCAGAAATAAAATTTTATAATATTTTGATGTTCAGCATGTGATAATTGTTTTGGTACGTTGTGAAAAAATATTCTCCATATGAATATCTGTTTGTGTATATATTTTTAAAGGTTGATTAGCAATCCAAATACAAAAGAAAATCATGACAGTAAACAACAATCAACAGAACTTAACTCAAGACTACAGTCGGTTTTCAAATAAAATAATCTACTATTTTAAAATTATTATATTCAACGCATTATCATGATCAATTAAAAAACATAAGTCACTTTATTTCAACATCAAAATTTATAAATCACTGTTGACATTTCTCTGCAACATGTACTCACTTTTATTTTTTTGGGAAAAATGTTTTTAATATTTAAGATAAATTTGTTGATGATAATACAAAAATTTAACCAATTTTAATGTCTCTTATTGTAATATTTAAATTTTAAATAATATATTATCTTCTTGTAATATCGTACTAATTGTAAAATGCAATAGATATATTTTTTTATGAATCACAAGAAAAAAATTTGTATTTAAATTGGACATCTAAATGAATATATATTTTTTCTTTTAAAAGCATAAATTAAAAAAAACTCTTATTACTACTATCATGTGCAAGACTTATAATTGGTTTAAAACGTTCTGTTTTTATTAACATCTACCTAAAAGTTTGAGGGATCCATTCCAGTTATCAAAAAAACCTTGCAAACTTTATTCTTTTTTGAATATACTGATAAGTTTCAATTGTAATTAAGGGTTGCATGAACTGAAGAATTGCATTTTTGTACTCTGCACTCAAAGAACTAAAACATTATGAATTCAACCTTCCCATGTAACGAACAATCCAGAAATAGGTTGGTTTTTTGGATTTAGAAAAAAAAAAATTGTAACATAGAAACGCAATTAATATTTGCCCTCAAAACCTTATTTTGTTCATTTTCTCTCATAGAATTTAATTGTTGGTATTTTTATTATTATTCTAGTTATTATTATGGAATTATCATCAACCTTAAATGATAAAAGCTTTGAACTGATTTTTATTAAAATTTACCATTGTAAACAATAAATTTGTCCTCTGTCCTATAGAAGAGGAGTAAACCAGCCCTTAGACAGCTATGTGTTAGCAAAGTGATAATGACAAAGAAAGAGTACAGGAATAGCTGTCACAGAATCAGTTCATTTTGCACATTCTCCCAACTGCAGTTACAAATTTAGTTATACTAAAGTTTCATTCAAATATAAACAAAGATAAAATGGAGAATTGCAAATAATATCAAATGCTCAAAACAACATACTCATTTTTGGATATACCCAAGAAGCATGAATTACTTGCATTTGTATAATCCAATGTGAATTGCATGATACACTTTGTGCATTCCAATTTCCTAAAGTAGATAGTATCTATGCAACAATAAATAACCAAACATGACATGCTTCAATGCTGTACCACAAACCACATTGGATAAAGATATCATTCATTTGCGGATTTAGTATATGTATACGTTACCTCTAAAACTATACATGCAAAACTGGCACTATCATCTTCACTTGTGAGAACAACATATAATGAATCAATGAAGGGCAGCTGCTAAAATGCTAGCAGTTCTTCACTAACAAAGGCAGTGTGGGGACAGAAAGTTTATGGAAAGAGGTGACATTTCACCCAGTGAGCAGCATTCTACTCTCAAATAAAGTAGAAACATGGAACTAAGGGGAAAAAAGAAAAAGTAGAAAAAAAGAGAGAAGAACAAACTAAATTGGTGGGGTCATACCATTATCATGCTGTGTGGCCCCACAGGTACCAAAGGGTACCCAGTACACGTCCAAGCGCTCCCATTTACTCATTCACCATTATTGGTCACATCACTGTAAAATCCCACAGCCCGTCAGTGGAAAAGAAAAAAGTAAAAGTAAGAAACCCAGCCTTGCATCCTCATCCTGCAGCCCTCCCTGGCATCCAGGTATTCAACCCAGATGCCACAGAAGAGGGTCCCCAGACCGGGCCGGGTCGGGTGGAATGGTGGGGCTGCCTTGGTGTCTTAGGTCAACTCCTAGCTGACCGAGAAGGCCCTGCCCCTCTTGTCTTGGAGGCCTAAACAAAGTGCCCCTATTTTCCGTGTGTTTGAAATTCTAATATTAGTGATGGCCTGGGGTCTGCGAGGCGTGCATTAAAAAGTTACCGAATTCTAAGTATCGTGGTGGTGGTTAAATTCTGACGTGCGCTGCAGCTGCTCGGTTCGTTTGCATGACGCAGTCGATGTGAGAGCTTGTTCCTGTGGATTGTCATGGTGGGTTCGGCTGGAGTAAGTCTTTAAGGAGCCCTGGCGGATTTTTCCTTTTCGGGGGAGAGTTTTGTAGGAGTTCTGTTAGAGTTTTGTAGGAGTTTTGTTAGAGTTTTGGTGGGGTTTTAGAGGATGTTAAGTGAGGGTCGTAGAGTTGTCAGTGTGTTTAGGAGAAAAGGCCAGAGGTAGAGTGACGGAGACGGGGGGTGGGGAGTGGGGGGTGGGCAGCCATAGCCGTCGTCGCCTTCTGTCCCGGTCCTCCAATAATTCCAGCTCAATCGTCACGCGTCCTCCTGAGTCTTCTTCTTCTTCCTCTTCTTCTGCCGGAGGGAAGGGGAGATGATCACTCAGAGGTGAGGTGCGAGGAAGAAAGGGGGACGAGTTCCCGAGTGTTCTTCCCAGTGGCATGGGTGCTGGGTGAGAAGAAGGTGGTTTGTGAGGGAGAACAGGGCTCGAGGAGGTTGGAGCCGTGGGGGCAGTGGTGGAGTTAGGGAAGCATGGAGGCCAATGCGGGGTTGGTGGCGGGCTCGCACAACCGCAATGAGCTGGTTGTCATCCGACAGGAGAGCGATGGGGTAAGGAAGCTCTGGGCTGCGTTGTCTTAGTCATACTTTGGAAGTGACCAAGCGCTAAATTTAGACGATTGGACACATATGCTGTGAATGTGCTCCTCTGCAGCAAGTCCGAGTTCGATACTGAATGTGTTCTGGTTTGTGTGATCCGGATCGGTGAGGTAGAGTTGCTGTCCATGGCGGTCTGTTTTCAACAGTGCGTTGATACGGGCGTAGTTTCGTTGATGAATGAACGTTAATATTTTATGGATACTTCAAAATGTTATCGACGTGCATTTCGCGGAAACGATTGTAGTCTTGCCGCCGTCTATGTTCAGCATTCTTAATTCAGACTTTTCCGTAAAGTTTCCCTCCTGTGTTCGCCTTCCTTTGATCTTCATATTCCGGGACTTGGGTACCACTGGACGGAAATGCATCGGAACTTGTCGCTTCCTTAGGCGGCAAGATTGTTGCTAATGTTTTCGACGTACTTTAATGCCTTTTAATTTGAATCGGTTAGAGTGAAGCCCGAACTGAAGATTGTCCGCGATGCTGCTAGGTGCTTCAAAACTTTTTCGGGGGTTCTTGAGAAAACTTCATGGTTGACGCATTCAGATACGAAACCGAGTCGTCAGAATTTTCAGACTTGATCTGTAGGTTCTGCATAGCTCCCTTGAGGTGACCACACAATAGGGGAACCGACTGAGCCCCAACTAAATGCATTGGTACAGGGTGTGTGGACACATGTTTCTACACTTCATAAATGTAGCTACTCATATTACAAAATTACCCGCCCCCTCTCCCCAGGCTAACCTGCATCAAGACAAGCCCTTCAAACTTGTCAACTAATCCCCAGTCCTAGTGCACAGTCATCGCTCTATAGAGTTCTGCAGGCAGTCCAATAAATTGTTTACAAGCAATCCGTAGTCCATTAATCTTAATCGACAAAGTAAGTTCCAAGGAAAAATCAAAGATTACGCGCGATGCTCCTTTCAAGTTTCCTAACAGTTCTTAATTTAAGCCTCAACTAGCACAGAAGCAGATCACCAGGATACAAACCGGAATATTCTACAGCCGCTTAAGTAAGCCTTTAAGACCACATGTAATCCTCAGCGCACCCGAGTCTGTCTTTTCTCGCCGACATAACTGCGCCACAGCTCTTCTGCACATCATGCAGCAAGACCCCCGATTTCGTATTGCTGCTCGACGTCACGATAAAAAAGAATCCTTCCGAAGCTGCCATGAAACGTTGGAACAATAGTGTTTCCTGGAGTTTTCAAACAGTGCCCCCCTTCGTTTCACCGAGTCCCTCACCCCTGATACCCTCTTCTGCACCATGTGATGTGTGTTGATCCTGGTGCACCCCAAATCTGCTCCAAAAGGAGGGAGTTTTCCGTACTTGTGCAACGAGGTAACAGCTCCAGTTATTGTGGAAGTGGACACCAGTCTCATGGATCTTGTTGTTGGTTGTGTGCAGCCGAGGCCGTTGAGTAATGTGAACAGCCACATCTGTCAAATTTGTGGCGATGATGTGGGAGTGACACTGGAAGGGGAGATGTTCGTGGCGTGCACCGAATGCGGGTTCCCGGTGTGCCGCCCCTGCTACGAGTATGAACGGAAGGATGGGACTCAGGCATGTCCCCAGTGTCGGACTCGCTACAGGCGACACAAAGGTGTGCTTTCTATGGCGTCCACGTGTTACCGAGGTTTTCGTGGGTGCGGTGTTGCAGTGAGATTAGAGTTTCTGGAGCTCGACAGTGCTGCATTGTGGTTGAGGTAGTTGTGTGAGGGGTTGGATTGCGCGTAGGATGTTACCCGAAGATCTGTTCACTCCCGGTGCGGCTTACCGGCCGCGGTTACTGGGAGTTGGAGGTTTCCAGATTGGGGAGCGAATTGCAGTTGATTGCAGGATGTTGGAGCCTGTTGGTCATGTCGGTGAGGATTGTGAGCGTCGATGGAGCTGAGATGTGCATGGACTGTGAGAGCGAGCTTGAGAGTGTTGTTGACGGAATTGTGGGATGTGGTTGTGAAGGGAGTCCTCGAGTGAAGGGAGACGACGAAGAAGAGGACACCGACGACCTGGACAACGAATTCAACCACAATGTTGATATCGACAAGCACGACAAGCAGCAAGTCGTGGATGAGATGCTGCACAGCCAGATGGCGTATGGTCGTGACACGGACGTGATGATGTCTGCAATGCAGCCTCAGTATCCCCTTTTGACGGACGGACACACGGTACGTAAGGGTGGTTCCAGTCGCGAATTTCACATGCAACGGGTCGGATTTGGTGTCTGCGATCTCGGGGCGCCGGAGGCGCCGCAGATTTTAAGGACAGGGCGTCAGAAATGAGAGTGTGTAGAAATTGGAAATGAGAGATGTCCGTGTTAAGCTATGCGGTGTGGTTTCAGATTGGGTGGTCTGGATGGTAGCGAGGTGGAGGGTGGCGTGTTGATTGTGGCAGCTGATTCCAGTGGCACGTACCTGACCCAAGTGTGCACGCGCAGGTTTCTGGAGCAGGCGAATCGAATGCTACGTCACCCGATCATCAGGCGATATTTCCTGTTGCAGGAGGGAAACGGATCCACCCTGTTGCTTACAGCGACATTGGAAGCCCAGGTGAGGCCTTGCAAGGCACAGGAAATTTTGAGCGCGAAAGGATTGTAGTTGATCATGTTTTGTATGGAATGCGTTGGTCATATTGATAGATGACGGCCCTTGTCCGAGCTGCAAAGAAGCGCTGTAGTGCGTAGTGGTGGTACGAAGCACAGTGTTACGTCCGTGGAAGTATGAAATGCGTGAACGCAGAGCTGGGAATTGTGGTTCAGCGTGGGTGTGGTCTTCCGCAAGAGAGCGGAATAAAAGAAAGCAGCGAGCAGGGACATGCACTGACTGGGGCGTTGCATTCTGATAACAGCTAGGCCACTGGATCCGGCGAAGGATCTGGGATCGTATGGGTACGGGAGCATCGCCTGGAAGGAGAGGGTGGAGAGCTGGAAGCTGAGGCAGGGAATGCAAATGAC